AGAGGGCCTTCTCAGTAGTGGCGCCCAACATGTGGAACGCCCTCTCATCAGATGTCAAGGAAATAAGCAACTATCCTATTTTTAAAAGACATCTGAAGGCAGCCCTGTTTACGGAAGTTTTTAATATTTAATGCTGTATTGTTTTTAACACTTGATTGGGAGCCACCCACCTGCTGGGGAAACTCAGTCAGATGGGCGGGGTATAAATAATAAATTCTTATTCTTATTTGTTTTATTGGGGAGTCCGTGCATTATTCGTTAAATGGATATTTTGTGCTGCCCATGACAGTTCCTTAGATTTTTCAGATGTGTCCCTACCCCATGCCCGAAAGAAAGCTTGGGGGATCCCCTGCTGCAGGCATTGCAGAAATGGCAGCTGTAAGACAATGCACCCATGCTAAATAAAGAGGCACAGCTGGGACACACACACACAGCTGACATAGCATGTACTGACACTTCCTTCCAAAAGGAATGAGGTGGGGAGGTTGTGGGCTGGGGAGAGAGCGGAAAAGGACTGCATTCCTAGCCTATAACTAAAAGGCAGGGCACCATTCCTGGAAAACAACAACAACCACCAAACAAGGGGAGGCACATTGATCCTGCTCCTCTGCCTCAGCCTTGTATCTAAAGAACCAAATCTTCCGGAGGAGAGCAATCTCTCGCAAAGGCCCACGCAGCTACAACTGTGTGGTGTCATTCTTAATCATGCCTTATGGGCACTCGGTTTATATATCTAGGGAGGGGTGAAGCGGACTGCTTTGGAGACAGCTAATGGAAACATTCTGCCTCAAGGGAGCAGAGCGCACACCTGCTGCTCCCACCTGCACTTCTGGCTGGTAGACAAAGGTAGTGAGGAGAGTGGAGGGGAGTGGGGACAGAGCAATGCTGCTAAGCCAGCCTATCTCAGACTTGCTGCTCCAGAAAGACGGGAGATTAGCAGGAGGAAAGTGTGCTTTTGAGCTTCTGGGAGTGCAGGGGTGTCAGTGGTGTGCATGTTTTCAGGAAAGCGAGAGAGAAAGAAATTGAGAAATTGATATCAAAGTTGGTGTTTCCTACAGTAAGGGTAAGAGCAGGAGAGAGACAGAGTTGGAACATGGGTGAAGGGAACACAAGCAATTTATCCAACACAATCCTAAACTTCTTAAATCCCTCTGGGTTTAATGAGCTTTCTCTCCCCTTCTCCTCAATGTGTTTAGGATTTGCAGCCTGATTTGCTTTATTGCTAACAATGAGGCCTAAGGTTTTCCAAATGGTGAGCTTTGTGACATAACTTGGATTGTGAAAAGGGAGCTATGATGCTATGAGACCTTGAATTGTGCAGGGCCAATGACCTGCCAATGAATGCAAATTACGTCCAGGAAATTTAAATGTGTAACTATAGCTCAGTTGGTCATGGGTTTGAACCCCATGTTGGGCAAAAGATTTCTGCACTGCAGGGGGTTGGAGTAGATTCTTGTGGTCCCTTCCAACTCTACAATTCTATGATCCATCTCTAAAAAAATAAAATAAAATCCAAATCACTTTGCAAGCTTCACAATTACACAAGGTAGGTCACTATTATTATTTCCAGTTCAGAGATGGGAAAAGGTGTCTGAGAGATTTTGATTTCGGGAAGAAAAAGTCCTCTCCAGAGAGGGCATCTAAGCACAGCTCTCTCCTAGACCGAATCCAATGGACTATCTCTAAATTATGTCGGGAAAGTGTTTTTGTACTGAGAAGGTGTTGCAGCAAAGCATAAATCTCTATATCTATCTCCAGGTGTGATGGCACATGTGAGCTTCGGGAATCACAGATTTTAACTTCATGGAAATTTTTGTGGTGCTTGCATGTGTTTGTGTGTTTAGAATTTTGCATGCAAGCAGGGATGAAAAATTAATGGACTATAAATAAATGAAATGGTGGAAAGTGTGTCATTTAGCTCTCACTTAAGAAAATAGTTCAGCACCTCCCTCTTGCTAATTATGGGTGCAATGTGCAGACACGTCATGCAGAGCATATAAATCACGTTGCTTTCATCTGAAATGCATAAAGCACATGCTTACAGAGCCATCCTAAGCGTAGGAGTGGGCCAGACTAAGCCTGGCCAGGGTGGGGGGGAGCCTTTAAAATAAGAGTTTGACTTACACTGTCCTTTTTTGCTGTATAAGTTCCACCAGGATGCCATGTGACCAAGCTGAACAGATCCAGCATGAGCTCCCCCCACCCAGTCCTGCCCCTCCCTTTCCCTCCCCACAAAATACCATTTTTAAAGGGCTTATACTACCATTGGAGGGACATGGGTGGCGCTGCGGGTTAAACCACAGAGCCTAGGACTTGCTGATCAGAAGGTCAGCGGTTCGAATCCCCATGACAGGGTGAGCTCCCGTTGTTCAGTCCCTGCTCCTGCCAACCTAGCAGTTTGAAAGCACATCAAAGTGCAAGTAAATAGGTAGGAAGGTAAAGGGCGTTTCCGTGTGCTGTTCTCGTTCGCCAGAAACAGCTTAGTCATGCTGGCCACATGACCTGGAAGCTATATGCCGGCTCCCTCAGCCAATAAAGCGAGATGAGCGTGCAACCCCAGAGTCGGTCACGACTGGACCTAATGGTCAGGGGTCCCTTTACCTTTACTACAATTAAGATCTGCTATCTTTGGCTCAGTTGCCTAAGCATTGGCTGAGCCAGAAAGAAGGAGTCACCTCAGCATATATCTGACTGAGCTGGGATGCTGGGCTTGCACCAGCAGTGCCAGGAATCATCCCGCTGATCAGGCGATCCATTAGATCCTGACTTGTTCATCCCATCAGATCTTGTGTTCGAACTGTCTGGGTTATGCCTGGTGTGTGTCTTGATATCATTCTCTCAATTTAGAATGGTGGACTTTTCTGATCTTGGAGTGACAATCTGTGAGAATGTAACAGCAGTCACCTTTTCTCTCACTTTTACAGGTATTTAAACTAATTTGTTTCCCATTTGTTTGTTTTTCTTCTTAAAGTCAAAGATACCAAAATACAAAAGAAAAAAAGATTATGTCTCTGAAAGCCAAGAAAGACCTATGTTATCGTCCAGATATGCGATATGCACGTATAATATCTGTCTACAGTGGTACCTCAGGTTACATACGCTTCAGGTTACATACGCTTCAGGTTACAGACTCCGCTAACCCAGCAATAGTGCTTCAGGTTAAGAACTTTGCTTCAGGATGTGAACAGAAATCGTGCTCTGGTGGCGCGGCAGCAGCAGGAGGCACCATTAGCTAAAGTGGTACAGTGGTACCTCGGGTTACATACGCTTCAGGTTACATACGCTTCAGGTTACAGACTCCGCTAACCCAGAAATAGTACCTCGGGTTAAGAACTTTGCTTCAGGATGAGAACAGAAATTGTGCTCCAGAGGTGCGGCCCAGCAGGAGGCCACATTAGCTAAACTGGTCCTTCAGGTTAAGAACAGTTGCAGGTTAAGAACGGACCTCCAGAACGATTTAAGTACTTAACCCGAGGTACCACTGTATTCTATTCCAATATTACCTTTGGAACAGATGCTATAGCAAAAAAAAAAAAAAAAAAAAAAAGAGGCAATGAGTTCATGGACTATTATTAGTTTTAGTATAAACAGCATCAAAATGGGCTCTGAAAGTGAAACAATTATTCTGAGCTGCTTGATTGGCTATGAAATGTTAATTCTTCTTAAGCCATGGAGCAAAAATGACTTATGAGGATAAATCTGTCAGACCCTCAGTTTGTAGTTTGTGCCTTGGTGGAGACTTGGCAGGGAAAGTAAATTATGGTTCACCAAATATTAGAGTTTATGTTTTTCTTTTCAATTTCTTTTTGTTTTTTTTGTTTTTAGTGCCTTGTGGTTTCCCTCCCCCCCCCCAAAAAAATGCAGTGAAACAGAAGACTATTTCAAGCACTCTGTTCATTACAAATTGGGTCCATGTAACACATGTACAGTTTGATGTTCCCTGTGGATTCCGATGCCAGCTTTTACGAAGAAGTTTATAATGGAGGAACTCCCCGAAAGGATTCTAGCTGCGTTCTAATCCACCTTGGGTAGAGGAGAAGAATTTGGTGGCAAGTTGCAGCGCACTCCTAGCCACATTTACTCAGCGCTGTGGGTAAAACCTCAGTGCCTAGGACTTGCTGATCGTATGGTCGGCAGTTCGAATCCCCGCGGCGGGGTGAGCTCCCGTCTTTCGGTCCCAGCTCCTGCCCACCTAGCAGTTCGAAAGCACCCCTAAGTGCAAGTAGATAAATAGGTACCGCTTTATAGCGGGAAGGTAAACGGCGTTTCCATGTGCTGCGCTGGTGCTTCGTCACGCTGGCCACGTGACCCGGAAGTGTCTCCGGACAGCGCTGGCCCCCGGCCTCTTAAGTGAGATGGGCGCACAACCCTAGAGTCGGACATGACTGGCCCGTACGGGCAGGGGTACCTTTACCTTTACCTTTAGGCCCTATTGAATTCAGTGGGCCTTAGGTAAGTGGGGTTAGGATTGCAGCCACAGTCAGTAAGTCCCAGTAGTATACAGACACGGGTGGCACTGTGGTCTCTTGGGCTTGCTGATTGGAAGGTCAGCGGTTCGAATCCACGTGATGGGGTGAGCTCCCATTCCTCTGTCCCAGCTCCTGCCAACCTAGCAGTTCGAAAGCACGCCAGTGTAAGATAAATAGGAACTGCTGTGGCAGAAAGGTAAACTGTGTTTCCGTGCACTCTGGTTTCCGTCACAGTGTTCTGCTGTGCCAGAAGCGGTTTAGTCATGTTGGCCACATGACCCGGAAAGCTGTCTGTGGACAAACACCAGCTCCCTCGGCCTGAAAGCGAGATGAGCATCACTCCTCATAGTCACCTTTGACTGGACTTAACCGTCGAGGGGTCCTTTACCTTTACCTTTTTACAGTGCTCTTACAGCCCAATCCTACACATACACACTCAGCATTAAGACCTAGTAAGTTACTTTAAAAAAAACCCCAAGAACAACCACATTTCTTTCTTCTTCTCCCTCCTCCAAGGACCTTGGGACCTCAGTGAACCTGTGAAACAATGGGTTAGTGTGGCTGACTGTTAACCAGAAGGTTGGTGGTTCAAGCCCATCCAGGGACAGCTGTGGGCAGGATTCCTGCATTGCAAGGGCTTGGATTAGATGGCCCTGGGGTCCCTTCATAGATTCCATGATCTATGATTTCTATGATTATTTCTGGGTTGGATACAGACACATCCTGCCAAATCCAAGTTTCACAATTATAGTGGATTGGATTGTTATATACCGAGCTGAATCCTAGAACATCAGAATCCAGAATGCAGCAGTCTGATTGGTCTGCAGGAGCCACCCAATCCAGCTCCAGATGGAAGTGAATCAGTGACCTGATTGGCCTTCAGGAACAGCCAATCAGGCTTCTGGATGAAGTGAGTCTGCAACCTGATTGGCCTACAGGAGCAGCCTGGAATTAGCCAATCATGTGGGGCCCATTGTGTAAATAATGTATATATAGCTAGACGTTTTGAGGAAAGTTTCATTCATTGATACTACAAGCTGAATAAAAAGCATGAAATTCACACTCGACTAAGTATATTTCAGAAGGTCTCACGTTTTCCCCAAAGACTGGCCTTTTTGCAATAAGGGAAGTTATGAAGAAATGCACTGGAAGGTGTGGCGTTTACCACTTGCTTTGACACAGCAGTCATCTAACATCCCCACAAACACATCAGAGAAACAGCTCATCAGAACACTTCCGGGGTGGCGCCATCGGTAATGGCGGACTCCCTCTGATCCGGAGGGACCAGCTCCACGGAAAACGGGTCTTTCCTGCTACGGTGAAGCGGGGACCCTTTCAAAAATCACAGGCGGATGAAGCCTGTGACCATGGGACTCGGCGGGCACCTTTAGCGCCCCCCCAACCCGTAAAGGAACCCATTTACGGGCTCCGGAGCGAAGAGGGGGAAGTGGTGCGGTGCTGCGAATCAACTGCTTCTTCCGTGGAGCGAAGCCGCACAGCCGTTGCCGGAGAGCGCTGCCTTTTTCCTGGGACAATTTGGCATTTAAAACAATTACCCGTGAGTACTTTAATTTCGGACAATTGGACTTTGAATAATGACCTGCGAGTAGAAAGGAAAATTGGACTAAGAAATTCATCTCAATTTGGCACTGAAACAGGAAGGTCTAAACAGGAAGTCAGCCTTCCGTTTCTTGTAGATAGATTAAAGCAAAGACATGGCAAACTAGAGTTCAGAAAATCGCTTGTAAAGGATTAACTTTCATCATTTAAAATTGTTGAACCCCCTTCGGAAGCAGGAGAAGAGGGGGGATTTTTTCCGGACTGTTTAAACCTGCAGAAAGAGTGTAAAGCAAAGTAATTTTCCACCGTCTTGATCCTGGGAGCGGGTGTCAGGACTGACGTTCTTTGGGAAGCTCATTGACCAGAGACAAACGTTTTTGACAGATAGTTAAAAGAAGAGAAACATAGTGATTCCATTGTTCTCCTTCGCATTTTAAAGGAACAAATATTGACAAAATATCTGAAAAAGGAAACTTTGTTGTTAGATCTGCCTTTAAAAGAAAAGAACAAATAGAAGTTTTTCCCCTAGAGGGAGCCTGTGAAACTGTTACTAAATCTGAATCGGGGAGTTCTGCAGCTGCAGCAGATTACGATCGTGGGAATAGAATTCTGACCTTGCAGAACAATGTATTCAGAAGCCCTGATGCGTGCTTTCTGCAAAACAAGTGCCCTACTGGAGCAGCTACATGAGAAGACGGACTTGATGACTGCTGCGATCAGAAATTTCGGACAGGTAGTGGGTAACTATATAGAGCCCACCCAGGAATTAAATCAGGAGTATGCTCTGACAGAACAGATGAGGGAAGAGGATGTTGTTCAAACTCGGGCGCCAGAGATGGAGGGAGCTGTGGCCCAGCAGGAACATGAGTTTTTGGATCTGACAAATGAACTTGGAAAAAGCCAGATTTGGAAAGATAAAGTTTGGTTTGGTTTGGAAATGGGGGGTTGGATAGACCCCCCTATGCAGGGATCTTTGAACTTTTCAAGTCTGGCAATGGGCCGTGAGATGTTTGGGGTTGTGGGGGCTCTTAATTCTGGAGGGACTTTGAAACATGTTTTTAAATACCACATGGAGTTTAGTGTGGAGCATGGAAAAGGGATTGATTTGTCGAGAAGGGTCAAAAACACTGTTAAGTTGGAGTTCCCACGAGTGAAAGGAGCAGGAGACAAAGTAAAGTACAGGTATAAATATGAAGAAGAGCTGCGGGAGGGACATGGAAGAGACTTAAGGGCCTCGGACATAAGATTACCAGGTTAATGTGCTAGATTGATGGGATAGAAAGGACTGACAAAACCCGGGACCAGGAGGAAGAGACGCTGGATGAAGATTGGAAGAAATTTTTTTTATTAGGATTGTTTTATAAAATTGATGAATGTTAGAAAAATGTTGGAACGAAATTATTTGGCTTTAGCAAAAATGTTAAAAGAATTATGTAAGAATATGTTATGGTTATGAGAAATTGGTATAAATAAGATCTAAGTTTTAAGTTTTAAGGTCTTTTATAGTAAGATAAGGTTAAAATAGATTAAGGTAATGTAATGACAGAATATTATGAAAAATGGAAAGGATTTGCTGTGACTATTAATAACTAGGATACAAAAAAAGGGAGGAGTGAGGAGGTCAAAGAAAGAAGGTAATGACAGTCAAGGATATGAGAATATTGGATTTGTTTTTAAATTTTTGTGGCTTATTTTTGCTTTTTGATTGTGTTCTGTTACGTGCTTTGTTCTTATTTTTTGATTTTGATTTTTATCAATTTGTATTGTTTGATTGTGGTTTGTTTTTCTTTTGTTTTTTCTCTTTCTTTTTCTTCTCTGTTTTTTCTGTAACTTTAAAACTCTTAATAAATATCATTAAAAAAAAACCAAAAACAGCTCATCAAATAGCCAACATTGCCTGTTGTTGTTGTTGTTTAGTCGTTTAGTCATGTCCGACTGTTCGTGACCCCATGGACAACAGCACGCCAGGCACTCCTGTCTTCCACTGCCTCCCGCAGTTTGGTCAAACTCATGCTGGTAGCTTCAAGAACACTGTCCAACCATCTCTTCCTCTGTCGTCCCCTTCTCCTTGTGCCCTCCATCTTTCCCAACATCAGGGTCTTTTCCAGGGAGTCTTTTCTTCTCATGAGGTGGCCAAAGTATTGGAGTCTCAGCTTCAGGATCTGTCCTTCCAGTGAGCATTCAGGCCTGATTTCCTTAAGGTTTGATCCCCAGCAAACCAATCAGGATGAATAAACAGATTGAAGTGCCTGCAGTAGCTGGCTCAAACTCTCTTTGTGAGCTTCATGGCAGTTCAGGGATGTGAACCTTGACTGCCTCACTGATCAACACCCAAAACTGCATCCACTATACCACACTGGCTTTGAACTTAATGGGGCATGGCCACACGGCGAAACCCCAAGAATGTTTGTTTTAGAAATGGCCTTTATTTCTCCTTAGAGAGGCATGCTTAAGACTGCAGCCTTACTTCCAAATTTAGTGTTTACTAAGCACTGGATTCGGCTAAGGCCCTAACTGAATTTGGCTGATTCAGGGGAATCCAGGCATCGGTTGAGATCTCCCCAGATTACCGTGAGTCAGGTTGCAAGGCCTGGAGTGACCGGAGGCTGTCAGAGGGCAGGGTGTCAAGCAGGAAGGAGAGGAAAGCGTGAGCAGACAGAAACTACGCAAGGAGGGGCTGACCAGGCAGTTGTATCTTCATGGGAAAAGGTAGGGGGTGGGTGGATATTTTAATCCAACAGCAGCACTGTTATGTACTGAGTTGAATAGGATCCAAAAGGCAGCAGTCTGATTGGTCCTAGAACAATAGGGTCCAGAATGCAGTAGTCTGACTGGTCCACAGGAGCCACCCAATCCAGCTCCAGGTGGAAGTGAATCCGCAACCAGATTGGCCTACAGGTGAATCCTGGGATTAGCCAATCACGAGGGGCCCATTGTGTAAATAATGTATATAACGCAGACATTCTGGGGAAACTTCCATTCCTCCTCACCACTATGAGCTGAATAAAGAGCATGAAATCCACTCTTGACTCCGAGTATGTTTCAAGCACCCAGTACTGCAGACATTTGACCCACACACCCTCTTTTGTCTCTCAGTTATTGGCTTACACAGTGGTAACGGCTGAGACACCACAGCCATTTTGTGAGGACTCAAAATGGAGGTTGGCTTCCCAGGCCCCATCCACTGCTGTTAGTTCAGCTGCCTGAGCACCCAATACCTATTTTTGCACTTTGTTTTGATACCATCTTTTACACTGGCTTAACCTCAGCGCATGCCAGGGACCTTTATAGGAAGCTACTGTCTGAGGGACAGCGACCCTCAGTGTGGGGAGGAAGGTGGATCTTGCATTCGTTTTTGGCAAACCAACCTTCAGTAAGCTATGAAAAGCAGACTGCACCAGCCCTGTTGGAAGAGATCCTTTGTTGCCTGGATGTTTGAAGATTGAAATTTGGAGCTAAACTATTGGATATAGATGCGTTGTCTGGCACATGGTGATGTTTTATCATGCTTATTGTTCGTTTGATATGTTGCGAGTCACTCTTGGGGCACAGTTTTGTGGAAAAGTGGCATACAAATGAGCAGATAATGATGAATAAAACTATTCATTTGAAGAAGACGGGGGGGGGAGGGGGGAACCAGGCACATGTAACACTATGATCTCTGCTGTCCACTGAAATCATCCCAAGCCACTTCAAATTCAAGCAGGACAACTGTCATACATGGTATTAAACATCTTCAATCATCAGACTGTGCTCTCTTACTTGACAACTTCCAACATGTTCTCCCTTTTCCTCAGACAACAGGCATCTTCTTCCCTCCTCCCTCACATTTCACACAGTTTCTGTCTTCATGAAATGGCTTCTCAGGACTCTAAGAATCAATTCATACACACACACACACAGAGAGAGAGAGAGAGAGCGAGCGCTTTATTGTGGTCCATTTACATTAGGACTCTCTTCAAATCATATCTTATGTTGAGGCTTGGCCAACCAAGGCAAAACCCAGTTCCCACCAAACGCCAACCAATCCTTCAGTGTGTAATGCTT